TGTAACTTAGCCATGGTATCTTTCACTATTCCAGTGTGGTCTGCATAGACACAGTATTCTTCCTTAAGAGCAGCACACAGTCCGCCTGTTCGTAAAAAGAGTATATCTAACCCTCTGCGGTTTTGTAATACTACTTCAGATAATGATTTAAGTGAGTTTGCAAGGGCCGTTATTGACTCTTCGATCCTGGCTATGTCCTCATCCATTGCCACTTTTAAAGTGCCAAACTCTTTGTTTTGGAGTACCAGAGATGCTATCCCTGTACCCTCTCCAGTACCTCCTGCAAGCATCAGCAGGGCTATTGTCAATGCTGTGATAGGTTCTTGCTTTGTCAGATGATGGTCTGGGATAGTTATAGAACCATAGACATAGTCTTCAGGGTGGTAGTAGATCTTGGGGACTATGGTCACTTGGACACAGTAATCCGAAGATTTGTTAAACACTTTTAAGGACAGACAGGGCGTAAGTCCCGAAGAAGAACAGGACCATTTGGTATTTTTGGCTGGTATTAACCATTTCGCCTGGGTTGTGTAATGTGCTTTACTAGCGCATAACCGCCTTTTATGCTGTGGGACTTGGCCTACACGTGTTCCGCTTCCGACAATTTCTGTTAATGTAGTGCCTTGTTTGTCCATTTCCCATAAACACTGGGCTGGACTGTCACTATTGGCTTGTGTTGGCGTGTCATTTACTGCTACGCCTTCATAGTAAGGTGATCTTACTCCATAACAAAGCCAACAATGTTCTGTGAGGTTTGGATTAGTTTTGTTCAGTACTTGATAACTAGCTTGCATCATTTTCCAAAGAGGATGTGGATCATTATTAATTGGATCGGGAAAGGTGTATGGTGTGACAGGCGTGGTAGTGCGACCTCTTATGGTTGTGTTATGGTTTGTGTCATCTATGGGTGCATTTGTGGGTGTGTTGCGATGTTTGGGGGTAGATATGTGTGATGGAGGTGTGTCATCAGTCAACATTTGGTTCGGGCCTACTGGCAGAGGGTCATTTGAGACAATTTCTTTCTTTATCAGGATTAAGGCACCTTTTTTTTTTTTTTTTTTCCCCACACACTCCTTGCTCTGGTTAACAAACACAGGAACTGTGACAAGTTCGAGGTGAACACCCAGAGTGTGGCTTACCTGGCAGCTCTGCTGACAGCGTCTGAGGGGGTTTGGAGCCGCTGCAGCCTAAAGCATAGGAAGTCTCTCTTGTTGACAGACGTTTTGATGGAAAATGTTCCTGCTTTACCATGACGAAAGCCAAGACTAAAATTACGCAAGGACATCGGCGGTAGTTGTCTTGGTGTCGTCTGACTCTTGTCTGCGCGGGATTCTCAGGTCTGGATGGGACGTTGGTCGGTGCGTCGCTTTCTTCGGGCACTGTGACGTATGGGTTACGAGGGTGCCCAATGATATGATCCTGTAAGTAAAAACTCACAGTTTTCATTAGTCTTATATCGAACAGAAGCAGGTCGTCTCCTCCAAAAACGCCATCTATGAGAGTAGAGACCATAGCGGAGTTGAACCCTTTATCTGCTATTGCCTTAATAATTGTTTGTATAGCCTTTGGATTTACTGGTGAATGAACTCTCCAATCTCCTTCTGTTACTTGGACCGGGAATGCTAGTGAAGCTGACTGAATCCAATCAGCACATGCAGCTTTAATTCTCCTCCAGCCCGTAAGAGGGGTTAATTCCTTTTGTGGTTTGTCTCTATTTCTACTTTTAGTTATGTCTATTTCTTTTCTCTCTTCTTCCGAACTTGAATCGGTTACATACCGTGCGCTGCACTTACGCAACTCGCCTCGCGACTTGTCCCGACTAGTGTCTGACTCGGAGTCCGAACTCGACTGACTAGTTACTTCTGGTCTCCGGTGTCTTTTTGTCGGGCCACGACCCCGCCCTACTCCCCTGTGGGCGGATGGCTTTTTGCTCCGCCTTCCTCTCGTGTAGACAGACAGCTCCCTCCCCCTTTGCTCGCCCCGCCTTCTACTCAGGGCGTGCGCCCTACATGGGCAGTTTTTCAAACGACCATCATGGCCGGCACTCTCCTCCTCACTCGCACTCCCCTCTCCACTTGCACTTCCCTTTTTACTCGTACTTCCCTTATCGCTCACGCTCCCTTCCTCGCTCGTACTTCTCTTTTCACTTGCACTCCCTTCATCATTCGTACTTCTTTTTGTCTTTCGCCTACTTCCATCGCTCCTCTTCCCTCTGCTCTCCCTCCTCCCAGTACCGCCCATACCCACGAGCCCCGTCACTTCCCTTCTTTTCCCGCCGGCGGTATCTTTGCTCCGTCCTTCTTCTTGCCCTTCAGCGCCATTTTGAAGTGCATAGGACAGCAGTTTATCTTTAATTCCCTCCGACTCTGCCTTTTCCATAACCTTTCTAGCTTCTTCAGCTAATTCCCCCCAAAGAGGTTCAGCTCGTTCTCGCCCCTTCGCAAGTGGATCGAGATCTGAAAATTGAGGGGAATCATCGCCTTCTTGTGGATGTTTAAGC